TGTGTGATCCTGCTCCGAGAACTTTGTTCTTGAGCTGTGTTCCCGCCGTTCGAGCACAAGAACAAGAGACCCCTGTCAAGAACAGGCCGCCCGAACTCGACCTTAGTAAGTGTACATGTATCTATACTGAAAGTACAATCACTAGCCATCGCTATTTTTCCTGGTATTCTCAATTGCACTCCGAAGTGACCGACGGCAAGGCTTTGTAAATCACTTCATTATGCTTTGCTTTACATGCTGCACGTGCATGTATGTATCTTGTCAATGAAGTGTATGTGTCCGGTACATGTACTATTTTGATTTGTGACACCATCTCCATTTATTGTGGAAGATATTGAAAACAAAGTGTGTCCAGAATGGACCTCATAATTTTTTTATATTAATAGCAATACAGGTAACATACTCTTTTATGCAGGTCTGTCTGGGATTGTTGGATAAGTATATTTGGTGGAGGTTGTAGTCATTCATAGCAAGTTTATACATGTACATCAACATGTACATGTCTGTCCCCATAGAGCCTCTTCAGGTTTAGCATTTCACGACGTGTGTGGTTTTAAAATCATCCAGAACACGTGATTAACACTGTTTATCCAACACACAGACATCCATGCTCTCACAACCTCTTCTATTTCTTTAAACTACATCTCCCTGAAAAACAAAACAATAAAGCTAAACACAAAAATAAAAGGAATTCTATTGAAGTCATTTCTAATACAAAAAATCAAAAATAAATAAACAAAAACTTGTACATGTTCCAGTAATAGGCATCCACTTTGACATCAGTGTCGATGGTGACATGAATGTCGTGAATGAGGTGAGATTTGTTTGTTGGTGTTTCTCTGGATGCGTTTTTCTTTTTAATCATTTATCGTTGCTCGATATACGATCCACGTTTTGCTTTTGTATCATTTTGCTTTTGTATTTATGATTTATTTTGAAGTTATGATCTTATTTTACTTGGTATGCATGCCATTTCTGTTTGTCATTATTTGCAGAAAATAATTCCATTAAATTTCCTTGGTTGAGATTTTATTTCCTGAGTTGTACATATCTTGCTTTCCTTTGTTTATTTTTGTAAAGTCCTCTTCGTTCTTTATATCTCTCATTAATTCGTTTGCTTTGACTGTTTTATATATGTACATCATGTGTTGTGCTTTCTTTCACCAAATGGGACGGGGAAATACATTTTGTGAGGCGTCATTGTCCGTGATTCGTTGTTCAAGGAAGCATGCAGCGGACATTCAGCTCAACGTATTTTCATACACATTACTATGAGTTACAACAATACAAACGAGGTCTAATTCTTTTCATTAGAAGTGACTTCAGGTCGGTATTGTTTTCCATTAGAAAATCCTTTCATCTGTGTATTCTAGAGGGCGCTATTTTTCTTTTGTCGCACAAGACACTAGTCAAAAAACACAAGAAAAACTACAGACAAATCGTCCTTCACATTATTACCCCCCAAAAAAGTTTGGAAGAAATTTAGCCCATCACTATACTACAAAAATTGCCCATTACTATATCCATTACAAGTTACGATAAGTCAAAAGTGGAACATCTTCAAGAACATGTGGAGAAGTGCGATATCTAATAGTACAGAGCTATGGCGCCACCTTTTCTCTGCCGTCGATGACATCACACTTAAGCTCAGGAACATGGAAACGTTCATTGGCGCAAAAGCCACGAATGTTGACAATTTCTTCCTTTAACTGCCAAAAAACCCAAGGGGAAATCAAAATAACATTTCTTACACGTATTCAAATCATACACATTCTATTCCATGTCTCTTTAAATTCCATTGATCGTCCTGGTGTTGAGCAACAACGCACCATATATTCAGAAACACAAAGATCTACAGAAAGAAAAGTGACAAAAAATAAGCCGATTGAGACGAACTTGTTGGCTTCACAAAAGTGAATTAAAAAACAGAACGTGCGCTATACATGTAAAAGTGTGTTTATTGCACCGAAACTTGCTGCATTTTGCTCGTGGCTAAAATTGGCTGGGCATTCTGTCTTTGTGTTGGTGAGATGTGAGTGCCACTGGGTCGGTGGTCTGTGACATTGTAAAATTTGTTTTGGTTTGCATGCCTGGATTGAGTGTGCATTTTGTCGTGGCTGCATCCTGTTGTATCTTTAACGTTCTTCGTGGACTTCACGCGTCCGAACTGCAGATAACCTGTCATTCGTGGCTTTTGTGATCGTGATGCAGCTTGTCTGCTTGCACTTTCAGGTGCACGAAATGATACCTGTGACTCAGCAGTGGTGGCCTTTGCTTAAAGGACCATCTTCTCTGCAAGATAGCCATCTCCGTCCTAAGACGACCGTTTCAGTCGCCTTTTTTGTCTCAGGGTATGATCACCCACTTTGATATTGCCGGGATTAATGGACCATTATGCCGCTACTAGTTGTCGCTTTCATTGGGCTTGAAAGGTTAACTTGCAGTGTCTTACTTATCACAGTTTATTGAAAAGCAGCTTGAATTTATATTAATCTTCAACGGCTTGGTACATGTGCATTATATTAAATATGTTTCAGGCTGCCGCTGAAGGTGTTCCCGACTTGGATACTAAACGGCCTGGCTGTCCACGAAATGACGGACAGTGCGGTCCGATCAGCGCGTGATCTTCAGGTGTTGCCGTTTACTTCAAGCATGCCCGGGTCGTGCGCGAAACCCAACCGGTCCGTTCGAATTTCAAGGCTACATACTCTGCGCCGCTTTTATTAATTTCATTTCATAAATAATCAATGGCTGTTGGTGTGAAATTACGAGATCGTTGTAGTGAGTTGCATGATATTTCGTTCGTGTGTAAACGGCCCCATGAATAATCTATGACGGTGTGGAGGAGGCCGGTGCTTGCGTGCTTTGCACTGCTTTCTTATCACAGATACAGTTTATATATGCCGAAGCAAAACAGTTGTGAAGTCCTGTCTATCCGAACCGGTCTGAAGCTAGGTCTATCACCGTTGTATAATTTAAAAAATAGAGCACATGGGCAATAATACGAAATAATATTTGTTTTGGTTTTTGTCTGTACTCTTGTCATTTGAATGTCTTTTTGTTTGAGTGCGTGCGTGGGGTATTTGAGCGAATTTTTACACATTCACAAAGCAACCCAAGATTCAGAAGTTTTCGTTTCAATAAAACGCAAACTATTGCGTTGAATATTACCTATAACCAGATCGTAAAACGTCATCACCAAAAAAGTCTTGAATTTGCGTTGGATTTTATTCCATTGACAGTTGACGTTTTCATTTTTTCCCAGTCGGTAAAAGAAACGACAGCATCCTTTTTCCCGTGACAGTGAGGCCGCTTTGAGGACGCTCTTCCACATGGGAGCAAGTCTCAAGTCCATTTCTTTTATTTCCGTGAAATTAATTTCCTCTCGGTCGAGTGAAGGACGAAGCGGGGGAAAACTGTGAAATAACCGGCGACAGCCAGCCAGCCAGTCCTCGTTCAGGTGAAGAACAGACATTGGGTCGATGTAATTAAACTTAATGAAATCAGTAAAAAAAAGTCTCTATAGTAGTGTCGTTCATTGTGTGGAAGGCTCGTGAAAAGAAAAAAAAGTCAGACGCAAAAAACCTCGAGCATCGGGTGACTGACCGCTTGTACGTTTTTCGACAAATACACCTCACAACTTTTGTAACGATGCTTCCCGACAACTTTCCCTTATAAAAAAAATAAAAAATCTGTTGTGAATACAGAATCAAGTTCGCTTGTATTATGCAAAATTAAGCGGAATCTGAGCAGCTGGCAGTGACGGTCTTGCGGGTCTAGTTTTCCGGCTCGAATCCATTTCCGTAAAGTGGTGTAAGTTGCATCAGTGAAAAAGATGTCAAATTCAAGTTCTTGCAGGATTTAAAACATTTCGATGATTATTCAGCGACAGTGTCGTCTGGCTAAACCATGCATCGTCTGCCGAAGTCGTGCTGGCAGGATTTACTTGTGAAGTGAATAACGAACATCGCCGGCACAATCTCCCCAAATCGTCCCTGTATCCAGGAAGGATCTGTCATCAATATGCATCTAGCTGTACACGTTACTTTTGTACACACAGAGCTAGATGTTGTCACTTCGCACATTATGGAAAGGACCATCCGTGTCGGTGAAGCGTTTAATTTCTTGAAGACACATACGAGCCAGCAAATGTGTTATTAGTTTCCATTGCTCAGCATGTGAGGATTACCCCCAGTGTATTTGCACAGTGTACATTGTAGCGACACATCTATTTTAGCCCCCATCCCGAAGGACAGGTAAAAATCATTCAGGACTGGCAGGTTTTTTGGCTTTTACAAATGTACAATCCCCTCAGCTATTTAACATCTCCAGCACTGGTGAATACCGT